CCAGAGCTGCACCAATCCGAAGACAGAAGCCAGGAGCCTGGAGCCTCTTCCAGGTCTGCCACGCAGGCGCAGGGGCCTAAGGACTTGGTCATCCTCTACTGCTTTCCCAAGTCATAGCAGAGAGCCTGATTGGAAGTGGAGCCCAGGGCTCAAATCAGTGCCCATATGGGATGCTGGCACTGCAGGAGGTGGCCTCCCCCGCTATGCCACAGCACTGGCCCTGATCCATCAGTCTTTAAAATTTAAAATCAGTTAAGAATTTCAATGGCATGAATCAAGGGTTCATACCTGGGAAACATTCAGGGAGTATTTTAGGTGGAAACAGTTAAAAGTACAACCTACTAATATTATCACATAAAATTATCAACAACATTCAGTTTGATGATTTCATAGTCAGGGCATAAATTTGGTAATTTTTTCTTTTTACTACTTATTGTTTTCATGAATCTCCCAAAAGTCAGGTGGTATTATGGAGAAGATTAACAATATTACAATAATATTTACTTGATTTTTTTCTAACTGTAACTGGACTATGATTGCTCTGTTTCAAAATCACCACTTGCTTTTATCCAATTGTATTTGAGACACTTAGACAAGTCCTAAACATTTGTCTACAGAAAAAATAACTTTTCCTTTGTTTATATGTTATTTTTCAGTTCTATTCTAGAGAAGAATCTGTGATAAACTTTATAAATACAAGTAACATTTCACTTTAAGAACTCTTTGGCCTCAAAGCAATCTGTAACAGAGGATAGCGAGAATCACTTTCCAAGTAAGATTCTATGCAGGGTGTTTTTACAATATTTAGTAATAATTTGGCATACAGATTTAAAACTGAAAAGGAGTATCAATGCCTACTGTAAAAAATACAAGTCAATCAGATTTTTAAGATCATAACTAAAGACTCAATGCTCACAGAGTCTTCTAACATGGGCAATTATGTGCTGAATAATAGCAAAAATTGGATTAACCAGCAAAAGTAGTAAATACAAAATATGACTTAATAACAAACATAAAATCTGTTTCCAGTTAATTTTTCCTTTTTTTTAATTCTTTGGTATCTAGGAAAGTAT